TTGGAGGGTGGGAAAATTAAGAATTAAATAAAAGATATCAAATTTAATATTTTTTGAATAATTAATAAATTAAATTAAATTAAATTTAAATAAATTACTGGTTTTTTGAGATATATATTTAAAAATATTGGTATCTTTATAAATGAAGTTCAAATTACAATTGTATAGTAGGATCATTTTACTATTCCCATATCATATATATTATACATTATAAAGGAATTAAATTCACACATAAAATATTTAAATTGTGAATTTACCATACTTTATTAAATATGCATTTATTTCTTATTCATATGATTATTATATGTTGTCATATTAAAAAAGAAAAAAAGACAACATTCAGTTTAATTTTATTAATATCCATTAGAGATTAATTTAATATATCTTTACATTTATATATAAACAATACATATACATATATACAAAAAAATAACACACACAAACACACCACTGTTTTTTTTTATTTTATTTTTATTTTTTTCGAACTTAATAAATTAATTATAACTTTGGTTCAATTTTTATTATGCATTTTACATTAATATAATTTATAAAATTATTTTTATTTTTATTTATTTTTTTATTAAATTATTTTTTTTAAAAAATTTGTATATCAGATATAATATAATTGAAATTAATCATTTCCTTTTTGAATTTGTTTTTACTTATTAAAATAAACAAATATTAAAAATATTACCCTCACACTCAATGAAAAATCATATTACTACCCTATTCCCATTGGTTATAAATATTTATTTTTTTAACCATTATTATTTAAATTTTTTGAAATGATAAAATTTCTTAATTTAGCATTATAGTGAGTTTAAACTCACTTAATATGATTCTACAAAATATAATATTTATTTATATTTCACCTAAAAATAAAAATAGGTAAAATATTATTAATAGAAACAATTTAAACACACATTCAAACACACATATATACAAACACAATGAATATAAAAAATGTATAATAATAAATTTATTCTTTAAATAAGTACATATAAAATTCAAAAAAAAATTCTCACATAAAAAATGCATTTAGAACACACATTCCCACACAATCTCACACTATTAGAAATTTAATTTCCAAAACACTCTCACTAATATTAATATTATTAATATGATTAAATTATAATATATAATTTACACTCTATTTACAAAAAATGAAATTAATAAAAAAAATTTATTTATCATACATGATATAATTTTCTATGTTTGGAGTGTGAAAAGTGTGTGTATTATTCCCCCAAAAAAAGAATTACCCCCTATTCACACACTTATTTTTCATACAAACTTTTTTTTTTAAAATTTTTTTTCATTAAAAAAAAAACACACACAATGAATATAGCACTCTCTCTTAATAAAAAACTCATTCCAATAGAGTCAATAATTATATAAATAAATAAATAATATAATTGTAAAACACAATAATATTAATTAATTTTTTTTTTTACATTTTATTAATTATATTATTATTTTATTTTTATTTTTATTTTTAATTATTTTTTTTTTTCATAAATCAAACATACAATTATATAATTCAAAAAAAAAAAAATAATAATTCAAATCATTTAATTAAATATTTCTATTTATATAACTAAAAAATAATAAAATAATATTATATAGAAATAAAATAATAAAACAGTAAAATTAAAATAGTAGCATAAGTAAGTTTAAATTAAAGAGAAATAATAAAATCGAATAAAAACAAATTAAATATAATAAAAATAAAAAATAAAAATAAAATATTTATAAAAAAATTAATTATTAATATATTTTTTTTTATTCAGATATTGTAATATTATAAATATAAAATTTAATTAAATGGCGAAACTATTATATTTGTTTTTAATAGGTTTTTGCCTCTGCTTAGCAACAGGTGCTTCGACCGAATATAGACTTACTCAATCTGAAGTCGATAAATCATTATCAAATTCAGTTACAACCGGTGGTCATGTCTTCTGGGTTAAAGATAATTATGGTGGTTTATTCTATGGTTATCAAGAATGGAATTTTGATCAAGATTCTGGAAAAGCTATAATTGACGGTGATTCTCTTACTATTACTGGTAAAATTTTACCACGTAATCACCCAGAAGCATGTCAAAGATATGATGTTAACATTAAATTTGTTAAATCATATGTCTCACCAATAGGTCCAAACTTAGAATTAGCTGATAATGCTTATCTTGGTCAAGGTGGTTACATTGATCCATCAAAATGGGCTTACTATAAATTTGTTGAAGGTGCCTTATCTGGTAGCGGCTGTAATTCTAAAGATAGAATTCAATTCACTGGTACTGAAGAAAATATGCCATTACAATTCGGTTATGGTGCTAATGGTAAAAACGGTGCTAATGGTATCTCTGTTTGGTTAACTTTCGGTGGAATTGTCGTTGATATTAATGTTGATATCAGTCCAGAAAATCAACCAACTATTTCCCCAACTCAACCACCAACATATCCACCAACTCACCCACCAACATATCCACCAACTCAACCACCCGTATTAGACTGTTCTACACTCGAATGTCCAGAAGGTTATGAATGTGTCTTTGAACACGGTGTTCGTAAATGTGTCGAAAAAACTCATCCAACCCATCCACCACACAAAGCCTGTGATAAATTTAAATGTCCACCAAAATTCAAATGTGTATATGATGAAAAAGAAAATGTTGCCAAATGTGTAAAGGAACATCACCATGAACATCATAATCGTAAGTTTTAAAAATTAATTATACATTTTTTATAAAAAGTATAAATATTAATTAAATTTTTTTTTTAATAATAGCATGTGAAAAAAAGAAATGCCCACCACACCATTATTGTAAATGTGATCCATCAACCCACGGTAAACCAAAATGTGTTCCATTCAGAAGACCACACTCATCACCACCACCACACCACAAACCATCATTTGGTGAAAATGAACACAACAAAATTAGACAAAACAAATGTGGTCCACATAGCTGTCCACCAGGTGAAAAATGTATCTGTGTCCACGGTAGAATCTATTGTATCCCAAGAACCACCTGTGCCTCAGTTCGTTGCCCACCAGGATATCACTGTGAAACTGCCAGAGACAGACATAAGACCGTATTCTGTGTTCCAGATTGTCCAAGAATCTCATGTTCAAACGTAGGTTGTCCACTTGGTCACAGATGTAGAGAAAGATTTGGTAAAGCTATTTGTATCAGAGTTGGTAAAAAAGAAGACTGGAACCCACGTCCAACTGAAAGACCATCAATTCAACCAAGAACACCATTAATCAATGGTTTAGCTGATTTGGGTTATAACGAAAACTCTGTTGAGGCTCTTATCAATCAATACGAATCTCGTCAATCTAATAACAGATTCGGTGGTAATAACAGAGAAGGTAGATTCTCTCATCATCGTGAAAACCAATGGGAAGGTGATAACAAATGGGAAAATGATAACAAATGGGAAAATGACAACAAATGGGAGAATGATAACAAATGGGAGAATGACAACAAATGGGAAAATGATAACAAATGGGAAGATGATAACAAATGGGAAAATGAATATGATAACAAGAGATGGGGTAATGACAACAGATGGGAAGAAGAAAATGAAAACAATGGTAGATACAACAACCAACGTGAAAACAACAATCAATTATTTGAAGATGTTCAAGCCGGTGATGACTACTATGACGGTGCCCAAATAGGTTTTGGAGATGGAGGTTTCTAAACGATATTTTAAATCTTTAAAATAATTAAAATAATTTAAAAAATATTAAATATTTAATTTAAAAATAACATTTTTATTCAAAAAAAAAAAAACATAAAAAAAAAAAATCTAAAAAATAAATAAAAGTAACATTATATTAATATAAAAATATTAGTTTTATTTTAAATTATTTAAATCTCTATTTTATTTTATCTCTATAACTTCACTCAAACACTAAATACCTGTTGTTTTTTAAATCTTTACCATAAATGGATTTTTTTCATTTTTTTTTTAAAAAAATTAATAAAAAATAGAGGGTTGGGGTGAATTATAATTATTTAATTTTATTTTTTATTTTTTTATTTTTATTTTTATTTTTACACACAATGAACTTAATTTTTTTTTTTTTTTTATTGTTTTTTTTATTTATAATTAATACAACAATAATATATAATGGCAGCTACTAGTAATACACCTTTTTGTTTAGTAGATAGAAATACATTAAATGAAAAAGAGATCTCAAATATTAAAGAAACTCTTTACAAATATCCATTAGTTCTTGCAGATAAGGTTAAAGCTCCAACTCAAGCACATATTAATAATATTGGTGACCTTGATAAAAAACACTATCCAGAAATTAATGTACCAGAAAGAGCTGCTCCATTTATTTTAAGAATTGATGGTGTTTCATTAAAACAAGACCCAATGGACGAAAGCAGAAGAGGACTCGTTTACGAGTTTCCAGTTGAACCTGTAACCAGTAATTATTTTTATAAATAAAAATTTTTTTAAAACAATATTAACTTTTAATACTTTTTTTATTTTATTACAGAATGTACTGGTTCATTTTTATCCCCAACATTATCTGTTAAATTTAAAATACCAGAATCCTTAAGAAACAAAGCTGTTACCATAAGAATCATGTCCATCTTTACTGAGGGAAAAAGAGAAGATTTCCACGTTGAATTCGGTTACGCTGAAACTGTTCCATTCGTTATGGAGCAAATGAAGGTTTTCAATAAATTCGAAACTATAAAGGATAATGTTGTTGAACCATGCAAATGTGGAATTACAACTACAAGACCATTTCTTGACTATGGTAAAGAACCTGTATTAAACATCACAACATCATATGAACCAAACACAATTCATGGCGTAAGAGGTAAAGTTTTATTTGTTGAACTTATTTTTACAGATTTACAAAAAACAATTAATAAACCACTTCAATAAACTTTTTTTTTTTTATAAAACTTTTTTATTTAAATAAATTTTACATTATTAATATTCAGTTATTATTATTTATAATATTTTATTATTACTATGATTTTTATTATATTATATTATTATTACAATTATTTAAATATCACTTTCCTCTTCGGATTCATCAGCATGTTCACTTTCATCGTCACCCTTGAGTATTAGATATACACATTCTAGATATACATCGTCCATTAATTCTTCATAGTCTTTTTTAACCAATTTGCCATTATTCACAATTTTTCTATAAATACAGTTTCCTCTATTTGTGGGTAGTTCTATATTTTTTAAAAGTGAAATATCCATAAAGTAGTAAAACCTTTCAATTAAATCCCAACGAACCTTATACAAATTTAACTTTTTCATTGCAAATAATAATAAAATTGGGTAGTAAAATAATGGTTTCAATTGGCATTTACGATAAGTAAAAATGAAATCTTTATATTTTACTTGAATTTTAAAATTATTTTTTAGAACTACATGAAAATGACCATTTTCCATTAAAAGATATATTCTATAATAAAATAAATTATATATTAATAATTACTTTATAATTATTCATTGATGAAAGATTCTTACAAATCACTTCTTTTAAACTTTTGATGAACTTCTCTGGGCATTGTTACAAGATCCACACCATATAAACTTGCCTCTTCTAAACCACACAAAAACTCATCATATAGATTATTATAAAAATCATCATATGTGATTGTAATTGGAGTGCAACTATTGGTTTTAATTGACATTCTTATATTTGGAGTAAGCATAAAAATAAAATATATATTGTTTAAATTTTTATTTAGTATTTATATATTATTTATTGATTTCTAATAAAAAAAAAAAATAATAAATACTATTAAAAAAATTTAAATAAAAAAAAAAATAAAAAAACTTGTAAATTTATATATGCCAAAATAGTAATATTTTCAATTATCCTATCATTTTAATATATTTTTTTCAACCCTATAAAATTAAAATAATTTTTTTATTTTTTTCTAATGTCTTGAGTTAAAATCATTTACTTTTTTATTTTTGTTGATTTTCATTTATTTTTTTCTATTTTTTTTATTTTAAAAGATATTTTATTTTCTATTTTTGTTTTTTTTTTTTTTAAATTTTTATTATAATAATAAAGATATTTTTTTAAAATTGGTTTTTAAATTATTATACCATGCAGATAATAATAAAGAAAAAATAAAATAAATAGACTGTATTATATAGCATATCCCAAAATTTTAATTATCAATTACCTTTTTTTTTTTTTTTTTTTGTTTTTTTAATTTTCATTTTTTTTGAATTTTTTTTTAAATTTTGTATAATTTGTGCGAAATTAAATGTAATAATGATAATAATTTTATATTAAAATTAAATTAAATTTAGCATGTTTCCTTTTAATAAACTAAGCGATCCATTTGACTATCAAAATGATTTAGAATAGTGGTGATGAATCTAAATTAATTTAGGTTTAAAGGTGGAACGCTGAATGCCATTATAATTGTTGTTTGAATTATTATTATTGTTCGAATTATTATTATTCGAATTATTATTGTTTGAATTATTATTGTTCGAAATATTGCTTGAATGATTAATATTGTTTGAATTATTGCTCGAATTATTGTTGTTGGAATTATTATTGATATTAGAATTATTATCATTGCTCGAATTATTAATGTTCAAATTATTATTGCTCGAATTTTTATTTTTGTTCGAATTATTGCTTGAATGATTGATATTGTTAGAATTGTTGCATGAACTATTATTGTTCAAATTGTTATTGTTGTTAGAATTATTATTGTTTGGGTATGGTGTGGTGATAATGATTTCATAAAATTGCAAACTTTAGTGTGACATAAATCAAAAGAAGTTTTTGTAATTATATTATTTTCTTCAAGTTGCATGTATCATTATCAACCACACTTTTTCCTTTTTCATAAAACACTGTTTAAAATTTTTTAATTTTTTTAAACAGTGTTAAATTTACTTTTTTTTTTAATTTTCTTTCATAGCATTTTTAAAAATTTTTTTTTTTTTTTTTTTTTCTTTATTATTTTATATACATACAAATAATCATATATTTTTATATACATACAAATAATCATACATTTTTATTTTTTCATTATAATATTTGGCACAAATAATAATTTTTAATAATAACAATAATAATTTTATATTTAATAAATAATTTACAACTTAATTAATATTTAAAAATGGATTTATTATTATTACTTGTTTTTTACTTTTTATGTGGTATTGCCAGTTTCTCATTACGCATTTTTTATTAATAATAAAAAATACAATAAATAAAATAATAACAATCCACAAACAAATCCATCTATCCATCAACAGTTCAATCAAAAT